AAAAAAAAAAAAAAAAAAAAAAAAAAAAAAAAAAAAAAAAAAAAAAAAAAAAAAAGTTTTCCTTTCTACCTTCCGTGAAATTTCGAACATAAAGCAAAATATTCAATTCTTTCCTTCGGTGCGAAGAGAATTTATTCTTTCACGACATCAAGCTTAGGAAGTCCCGTCGATCACCGAACGAAATTCATCAACCGGTCGATCATGTGGGTCGCAATTGTCGGTGGACTGATCGTTTATGCCTTGTTCAAGCTTTTCTTCTCCGGCGACGACGATGTTATGGAGGTTGAGACCTCCGATTTTAACGCTATTTTCGCCGTCGCCACTAGGTACTTCATCTGTACTCTATAATTCAGCTTCTATATTTCCATTTTTTTCTCTTTCCTCCTTGTCGGATCATCAGTTCTTTTGTAATTGACTGTTTGGATTCCGAAACAATCCAGTAAGCGAACAGGACCTTGGGATTGGCTTGTTGAAGTTTTATGAAACTCCGATTCCCCGTTGCTGTACTTTATTTTTATTGTTTATTTTTTTGTTCCTGTTTCCTGTATTCTTCTAATTCGGTCTCTTTATTTTGTTTTTGTAGGTTTGAAAAGCTTTATGGTGGTAAGGCTTACATTGGGCTTCGGATTCCTGATGCTGACACCGGTTCTCGGCGGAATATTGATCTCGTAGTGGTCACCAAAGAGTATGAATACTGCTTTTGAAATTGTGTTGTTTAGCTATGGATATAATGTGGTAAAAATCTTGTGGACTTGCTAACGATTTTAATAATCATTATTTCATTGTCAAATCTGATACTTTCTTTTTTGTTTGCGTGAGAATTTGTGGTTTTTATTTTGTGTATGGGTCAAAAGCCTTTTTCTATTCTCATTCTGATTCTGACATGTCCTTGTAAAGAAAGAATTCCATTTTTTTTTTATGCTTAGTAGTTACTGTGAAAATGAAATTAAGAAGGCATAATAATTTTTGACGTTCCTTAGTGAAATAACTCCCTTCCAGGATCTTTGTTTAGATGATCCTTGTAATCGATTGAGGAACGCTGAGGAATAACACTTGTGTAATAATAATAATAATAAAATCGAGGTATACCACAAATAGGCTTCGTTTTGTTCCTACTTTAGTATATTTCTCCTTTTGTTCATATGTTTTGTTGACTTCCTTCTTTCGTTCTCAAGTTTTGTTGGTATGGCTTGAGGGGAGCAATAGGGTCTTCATTGATTAAGTTTTTTTAAGTTGTTTGGGAAATCTTCTTTTGTGGCAGCTGCTTGGTGTAATCCTTCCATTTTTCTTTATCCAACTAGACCAAAGGATAACTCATGGAATTGCACCAAAAAACAGGACCCTTGTCTCTGTTTTAAATAGGGAGTCTTGTAAGAAACGATCGACATCCCTGCACTTAGAGCTTGGAAGAGCTACATCAAAATTAAAGTAGAATAACAGTTTCCTTTCCACCAAAATAAAATTTGTAAAGGTGAAAGGACAACGTAGGAACAAATGATTATTATTATTATTATTATTTTCATACTTTGAAGAGAATACACCAACTAGGGAAGGTGAAAATATAAGGATTCCTTGATGAATTTTGTGTGCTGTGCTGAGAGAGATGGAAAGTTGTTTTGGTTATTTAATTCTTCCATTTAGCTGTAACAAATTTGTGTTTGGCTTGGAAGTAGATCCCACCAAGAAAAAGCTATAATTGTCCAAGGACTAATGAGAATCAGGACCAGCTCCCCAGTGAAAGGTCTTCTAAAGTTGAGGGTCTTGACGTTTGTCCAATGAATTGATATCTATCAATTCTTAAACCTTACTGTTAGCCACATTGAACAATGTTGGTAAGGTAGAGATAAGAGTAAACAATCAAGCCAAGAATTTTTTCCAATGCTTAAATAACTATTGTAGAACCAGATTCTTTATAGACCAAGTGATTTGATGATTGGTAACTTAGTGGGATGTTATTCTTGATAATCCTTGTTCAGCTAGTTTCGTAACAACAATAATCCTAAACTAATTGAATGTAAAATTACCATAAAGGGAAATTAACTAACGGACTCCTATAATATTGATTCACAATAATATTCATGCTGTGATAGTTTGATTCAACTTTCTAAATTTTACATTAGTTAATTCATTTACAGGGAGTTATTGCTGATATCTGTCAAGAACTTATCAGGATTTGTCTCCATCAATTCGGATGGTTCCTGGGTTTGTGATGATGGAAGGCATAAGGCAAAGACTCTTCCTGATCCTGTAAGTGATAGTTGAATTATTATTGCTTTAGCTTCCATAATTTTTCTTCTAGACCATTAAATTTTCTGGTATGGAGGAAATTTGTAAATAATGTTGAATGTCATAATTCCCAGATGTTGATATATCAATATCATAATAGTTGGCATGTGTAAGCTGTAATGCCTATTTTACTTGTACCTGAAAATCTGCCAATTAATCATGTTGTACATACTGACTAGTATTGCACTGTGTTGCTGATAGAGGTATCTACATATTGGTATGGTTTAAAATTTTCCTATTCATTAAGTAGCCTATGCATCTACAAGTCAGATGGCAACTGGTTTATAATTCTTTTTCATCCTTATTTGATTTTATTGGTGTGGATTTGAACTAGTTCTAGCGCATAGAGAATTAGGTGGCTGGAAAAGAATATAAGAAGTTCAGCGTGAATTAGTTTTTTCCCCTTAAAAAAAAAAATATTTATCAGTATTTTGTCTCTGATGCTTGGTTGTGTACTGCGGATTTTGGATAGGCAGCTTTATTATATTAGAGAACCTTATGTCATGTGAACGATCAAATGCTTTTTAATTGTGCTTTTTCCATAACTGTTATGTACTGTTATTCTAATTTCAGGTTGAAGAGACCAAACAATTGATACCAGTTCTTGAATCTTACCTTGAACAAAGAGGAGTGGATCTTCCAGAGGGATATTTGTCATGCAAAGTTGTACTTCCAAATCCCAAATTCCGGTAATGAGTTGGAACTTGTTTATGGTATGATTATTGAGAAATTTTACTTTTCTTAAAATGATCTCAAGTTTTGTTATCTTTTTACTTCTGATAATTAATGTTGTCGAAGTTCAGAAATTGACATTGAATCATTTATCGGACAACCATTTATCAGATGTTGTCTATATAACTCTGAATGTTTAGTATCCAGAAATTTAACTGGATGGGACCTGGTCTGTACAAATGCCCGCCTTCTTAATTATGAGTTCGAATAATTTCGCTCAAATTTTAAACTGGAGGAGTCCAAATTATTTAGTGAGAAGGATAGGGTTTGGGATAGCACAATTTCATTATTCTAAGTGGTGCTTCTCTCAAGTTCCATTATGTAAATAAGTGCAATTAGGCTGTTATTTTTTATAACTCCTAAAGGATTCTATACTTTTGTTTGTAGCTTTTCACAACATCAATGATTTTTTTTTCTTTGCCAAAAAAAATATTAATGAGAGAAGGTGAAATTTGCGTACTGACATCAATAGTCCATAAAAGTTTGTAAAATTCGTCTAATTGGTACTGCAAACAGTGTATTTAAATTAGAGGTTGCTTTGACATAGCTGAAGTTGCCTATCTGTTCAATTAATTGGTATTATAGACTACAGTCTATATGTTCTGATTTTGCTGAATTTTGAATCTGATTAATTTCAACATTTCATGTCTCATGCTTCATGCCTCACCAATGAACAGCAGTTCTAAACTTTTCAATATCAAGAAACTACTTTAACTATGTTGTAAATTTGATGAAATGATCGTGAAGGCCGCTGTAGGCTTTCCATTCAGTTTATCTAGGTAGGAGAAAGAAAGCAGAACAAGACAGAACACTTTCATCAGTAGGAGTATGTGAGTAGTAGCTGAAGATGGAGTTGTGTTCTTCTCCATGGGGGTGATGTGAATTTTTTAGTTGGGGGGTATTGCGTGAGAAGAATAGAGGGAAGAATATGAAAGATGAGGGGCACAAGAATGGTTTGAGTTAGATTTGGATGAGCTGCAGGGTGTAAATTCTGCATGTTGTACCTTCCTTTTCCTTTGCTTCTGACCTATTATTAGGTTTATGCATGGGGGAATCCATTGTTTTTAAAGTCATTTGAGTAAAAGATGATTCTCTAGCCAACGTGAACATATCTCAGCAGTAATTATCATATACTTCCCTTGAGGTAGGAGGTTTATATCCCAATACTCCCACGTTGTACTAAAAAAAAAATGATTCCACTCAACAGATCATGATAAATGTATGGTTCTATAAATCTAATGTATGATAAATATGGCCAATATTTGTATGGGCTTACTGTATGGTTATACATCAAGCATTTAGGAGAAAGAATCATTCTTGTGTAAAGTGACGGTAGAGTTTTCAAGTTGTAAGAAATTTCTAACAGCTACCTTTTCCCCTTACAGTACAATTGACTCAGGGTTATTTCCGCCCGAGGTTACTACCTATGACCAGTGGATGCAGCTGAAACCGGGACACAGTTCCTTCTCTGGCTGGATGAAAGGTGCATTTCGTGGAAAGAAAGAATTGCAGGATGAACCTCTGGATCAAAAGCTTAAAGCTATCCTTGGCACTGCACCGATGTGGGATAAGTAAGTTCAACATCTATGCAACGTCAGCCACCCCCACCACTAAAAAAAAAAAAAAAAAAAAAAAAAAAAAAAAAAAAAAAAAAAAAAA